AATTGGACTCTGATGAGTTCGTAATAGTGCATAAGGCTTCATTATTAATAACTCTAGTACCTAATACATTGGGGAATTTCTAATTTTCCTAATTTTGTATAAGGTACAATTACGTCACCATTTTCTATATTTTTTTTGTTTGACTTAATTACTTGTTCGGAACGTGGAGACACTACTATACAATTCGTGCTGCCAGCGGCCGGTCTATAATAGTTAATTTTAATTCAACAAGTAGGTGTTTTTAGTAAATTATTTACTAAATCAATATTTGCTTGTAATAATTTTAAATTATTTAATCCCAATAAGCAATCGAAATAATCTTGAAACTTAAATATATGATAATTTAATTGTATCGGCTTTTTATGCCTAAATATAGACGAAGAAGGAATTACAGTACAGAAATTTTCCTTGGTAGTTCCAAGAGCAGTAGAAATTTGAAATGGTTTTTTAAATATTGAATTTTTAAAATATTTGTCACATATTTTTGGTGTAATAAAAGATTTAGTGCTTCCGGTATCTATAAGAACTTTTAAATTTTGTTCAGGGGAAATTATGTAAGGCAATTCGCATTCTTTATTAGTTAAGTTTAATAATTCTGTGGTTTTCTTCCGAGGCTAGCTCCTCTAAAAAATGGTCTTGAGATGAACTTTCAGGACAATCTATATTATCTATATTATAAAGTTCTTCCGCAATAATATTTTTATTTTGGCTTGCGAAATTATTGGAGTTACGGAAATGAGTCCTATTTTGGAAGTTTTGCGTTGGTCTGTATGTATTATTAGTTGTTGTACTCATTGGAGTAGGATTTGGGAATTTTCTATTCGGATTTGGCTTGAAAGCATCATTATTTCCATTAAAATTTAAATTTTTGCTTGTACTAGGAATATTTTGGAAAGAAGATTGACATATATATTTAGAATTCGGAGGATGTGTGTTTTTCTGTGTTGAAAATTGATTCCTTGTGTGTATTGAATTTGGTCTTGATATATAATTTGTTGTTTTTGTCGGAATTTGGATTTTGGTCTGAATAAATAATTATTATTTTGATAAAGTTTGGGATATTTACTGTGAGGAGAATTATTTTGTTTGAGGTATATTGGAAAAACGTTTGTCAGGATGCCTAATGCAGAATTTAAATGTGGAGGATTCTTTTTACGCATTAAGGTTCCAAGAGGTTCTTTTAACCCACGTAACAGTACTCTTAATGCTAAATTCCGGAAAAAGCTACCAAGAATATTAATCTCAACCATATGTTCGGTTTTTGTAGACAAAACAGATATTTGAAGATTTAATAGGTGTTGAATTCGGTTATAAAAATCGAATAGGGATTTATTGCCTTGTTTTAAATCTGAAATTTCTATGCTTAAAGTATAAATATCTCTTTTAGCTGAATACGAATTTATTAAAGCATCTTTTAAATCCTGCCAAGTTCTTAGAATACAAGAAGAAATATTAATTGCGGCTTCGCCTTTTATTTTTGCTATTATGCTTGACATCAGATATTCATTTTAAAAATCATTCATATCCGCAGCATTATAAAATTTATTTACAATTATTTCGCAAATTTCTAAAAATCTAGGAAGTAATGTGTATATATATATATATATATATATATATATATATATATATTGAACCTAGAGCTAAGATTACTAGGGAGAATGGGTTACAGTGAACCACTTTTTATTTGGAGTGGTGTAACTCAGGAAAAAATATGCATATATGTCTGAAATTTGGATGATGAATGCTATAAGTACGAACTTCTGCTCTCATAAGTGAAACATGATATAACCAGATGTTTGGTACTAGTTAAAATATATATTTTTCAAAGCGTCACTTGGTTCAGTGTGCCCCCGTCCTTGTGAACAGTGAACCAGGCTATGGGTAACAATGAACCAAATGGTGGTACAGAGAATCAGCAGGTTTCTTGGAGAAAAGAAAACGCATGATATAGCAAAACCTTTGATAACTCACTACTAGTACAAACTAGCGTATATCTATTTGAGTAAAATTTAATTTGAATGAATAGAATGACTGTTGTCGTTTAGTATTCCCACAAATAGTTGGTTTTGGTAATATCAATTTTACGTCTGACAGTGCAACCGGAGATACGTCTAAAACGTCTGGCAAACGGAATGTGTTTTCCATTTTATAGTTTCTTCTTAAAAAACTTACTTCTACTTCTTGTTCCTTGGCCTCTTGTAATACCTTAGCAACGTAATAGACTTTACCATTCTTCCCATTGAATTCAACCAACACATAGTCTCCTTCACTGGGTAATTTTTCTAATGGATTAAAAGAGTCGGAGGTCATAATATTCTCCTCATCACCGCTTTCATAATAGTCTTCTACCTCAGAATGAACACTGAACGTATCTTCTTCATCTGTTGTATCTTCTGGTTCTTGAAACACTTTTTTCTTTATGGGATGCGCTTTCTTCTTTCTCTGCTTTTCTGCTTCGCGCTCCTCAATTTCCATTTTTTCTGGGGTGTCCGTGGCTATCATAGATTTACCCTTTCGTCTTGGTTTTCTGGTATTTTTTCTCGGCCCAGCCTTTGGCAGCCCTCGAAATTGATCCGGAGTTACAAATTCCAAAGATATTTCAGCCTCAGAGTCAGGAGTTCTACTTCTACTATGTTCGGCTCCGACTGCCAGTGGATTTTCTGAATTGAAGATTTGGCCATCTGGAGTATTCCCATTATTTTCAGTAATGGGCCTGTTAGTAACTTCACTTGGCAAGAAGTCTATGTCGGTAAAAACATTTCTATCGTACGGGAAGATGCCGGTATTCTTAAAGGAACTACAAATATTTGACGGAGTCATTGCCTTCATATGTGCATCCCAACGCAAGCAGCTACCTCATAAATTGTTAGAGGTTTTCCTGGATTCCGCATCATCCAACTGTCTACAGCTGCATTGTAAGCAGTTTGAAAGGTTTATAAAGGCAAACGTCTAAGGTTGCATCTTTCCGGTAGAATGAGGCGGAACTGTTAATATTGTCACACCATTTTCCTTTGCCAATTCAATGGCTTTTATGCAAATATGAGCTTCAAAGTTGTCCATTATCAGTAAGCTGGGTTTTCTTTGCTAGTGTTTGAGAATTTAATAAAGTGTTCCATCGTGTCTACAAATAGTGTGCTATTCATCCACCCAGACTGTGTCGCCAATCCTAACGTTCCGGTGGGAGCCCCATTTGTCATGTGATGCTTAAAATGGACACGAGGAAAAATCATGACTGGTGGTAAAAAATTGCCGGAAGCATTGACGATACAACAGGTTGTTACTAATGTTCCCTTTTCACCACTAGTGACTTTGCTGACCTGTTTTTGTCCTTTCGCTGCGAGCACCTTTTGAGATTTTTGCACGGTCAGGGAACTAGTTTCGTCAAGATTATATATCCTAGTCCCATCAGCAAATTCGGGCTTACGTAACATAACTTCTTGTAACTTATCATAAAATATGTTCACATTATGTCGGTTAAATGACGTAGCTCGGACAGGCTACATCCTTCAGGTGTCCTAAGGCTTAACCGGGGATGTCGCTTTCTAAAATTGTATAGCCATTCCATGCCAGCAAGCTTTCGATCATTCCATTTTTCAGGAATTTTGACGTTGTTGACTATTGCCATTTCGTAGGCCAGCTGGCGACATTCCAGCAGTGTTAACCCGTAAAACATTTGGCTACATTTTACAATATAATTGGCCAGTGCTTCTTCCTGGATGGCTGTGAAAATTTTATTCACTTCATAATTAGGAGTTAGCCGTATTGGTTCATCTGTATTTTTAAATTTTTGCCAATATCTTCTAACAGTCGGATAAGGAATCCCTTTAAGTTTTGCCACACTTCTTATGCTTTAATTTTCTCTCGATATGAGGTCTAAAGCACTTCGCATCTGTTCTTCACTGTGCATGCAAATGGTTTTCGCAACTCAGTTGCGTGGCATCTTGAATCTGAAACAATAAATAAACGTAATCATAAACCAAATTATGATTAATGAAATTAAATGCATACATTCTAAGGCCGGTTGTTCGAACGCTATTCAAAAATGATCATTACCAAATATTTAATTACTGTCACCAACTGTCAATGTCAATTTTTATTGGGTTGCTGAAAACATAATCGATTACCATTATGAAATTAGTTAATCAATTATGTTAATAATTGTTATGTTAATTGATTCACTAATCTCATAATTGTACTCAATTTATTATGTTTCAGCAACCCAATTAAAGTTGACATTGACAGTTGGTGACAGTAATTAAATATTTGATAATAATCATTGTTGATTAGCGTTCGAACAACCGGCCTTGTATAACATTTGCACAGTAAACCATTATGGGTTACAGTGAACCAGGTTCAGTGTAACCCATTCGTCAATGGTTCGCTGTTACCCACCGCCACCTATTTAACTAAAAAATTTATTTAAACAAAAATAAACTACATTGATTTGAAAGACAAGATAAACAGTATGTACAAAGACCTATTAAGTAGCTTGGAACTATAATTGATCTGAATTTACCGCCAGCTTGGAACAAAACAAATAAATACAACAATGTGAAAAAAAGCATTCGACTTACCGTTCAGCAGATATCGAAATAAACATCTACACACTATGTTAGCTTGATGCGAACTAAAGTAGTAAGGTGTCGCGTAAAACCAGCAGATATTTGAAGAATAGAGTTGGGCGATAAAGTGCATAGGCAAAGAGTGGGGGCTGCTGGTTCACTGTGTAACATGGTTCACTGTGACCCAAGTTCCCCTACTATTACAGGAATTAATATTAATTTCACAAGTCTTCCGGGTTAAACCACGTCGATCATTGCACTGAGCTTTCGAAATCCTCTTCGATGTCTTCTTCAGGGCTTCCGAGATCTCAGTCTCCCGCAATGGTAATCGACTCGGTTCAATCCGGTATATATATATATAATATATATATATATATATATATATATATATATATATATATGTATGTATAATTTCATTCGTTTTAATTGTTATTTTAGACTATATCAAAGGAACAAGAAGGACTATATGCATGTATTTCGAGAAATGCTACAACAGGTGAAGTTAAAGTAGAATCAATCAAAGTAATTGTAGACCAAGACTGGGAAGATGTATATGAACATGATTCCAACGTAAGTGAAGATTATATTATAGTCTTTGGTATGGCAATAAACAGAACTACATTAACTAATAGACTAATATCGATAAATACTATTATTAAGTAAAAATATTTTCAAATACACCCTTAGGAGTAGTTTACGTTCTCATTCATTCACATCATTCAAAAATTATACCATTTTGTAAAATTTTTAAAAAAAGGACAATTTCACGTTGATGAGAGTATGAGTCCGTGAGATTAAATGGTAGATTGATGTCTGCGGGTGCTCCTATTAATGAGATTTTCGTTGTAACCGTTTTTGAATGAAGGCTTGTTTTAAACTACAGAGCTCAGAGGGTCTACCTGCATGATCGCAAAGGCGTATTGATCTCGAGATAGGGGTATTATTGACTGAATTAATCTATGAAGGCGGATAATGAAAGTTTACATGCGAGTAACGAGTGATGAAAACCTTGGGATTGGTTTACTTGATGATAATGTCGAGAATCGGTAGATATTTGGAAATATTAGAGTTGGTGGGGAGCTCATTGGGGCACCATTTATTTGTCTTTAGAATTGATTTTAAAAGATGAAGTGTTAGACATACAATGTTTAATAAGAGATAAGTGGTCTTGTTGGAAACTGTATTTTTATTTTATAATGATTAGAGTTTCGTCTATAGGAATATTTGTAAAGAGTAAAACAATAATATAACTGACTAGAACGTCTGACGGTGAAATGAGGTTTCGTTTAAAAATCTCGATACAATGAAAAAATTTTTTACAAAGGACGATATTCCTCTAGGTCACATTGTAGTCTACACAAGCATTGGCCAAGTAAACTCTACAACCTCTTGCCAAAAATGCCTTATTCTGTGTCAAAAATACTTTTTATTTTATCGAACTTGTTAAAGAATACCTTACCTCATTATCAAACATTATAGTAAGTTTCGATATTGTTTCACTCTCTACAAATATTCCTATAGACAAAACTCTAAACATTCTTAAAACCAAATACAGTATTTAGCAAGACCACATAATTCTCATTAAACATTGTATGTTCTACACTTATTTTATCTTCCTAAATCTATTTTATACAAAAAAATTTTGCCCCAATGGGCTCCCCACTATCTCCTGTAATTGCAATATCTTTATGAAAACCTCGAAACCAAAACACTATCCACATAAATGCTCAAACCTTCATGTTGGCTACGATATGTTGACGATACATTCGTCATTTGGCCCAAGGTAAGGACACTTTGGTATCTTTTCAAACCCATCTGAATACTATACATCCTAGTATGCATTTTACAATGAAGATGAAAACTTCTTCATTCCTACTCTTTCCCGGCATTATCATCAAAAACCACTTCTAAGGTTTTCATCACTCTGTTTATTGAAAACAGATCATTACCAACCGTTACTTGCATGCCAACTCTCATCATTCACCTTCACAAATTAATTAAGCCATTAATATCATTCTCTCCATATAAATACGCATTTACGATGATACAAGTAGATCCGCTGAGCTCTCTAGTTTAAAACAAGTCCTCATCCAAAACGGTAACCGCGAAAATCACATCATTAGGAGCATCCACAGTCATCAATCTTCCATTCTATGTTAACTCAAAGAATGAGGCTTTTACCATACGAAAGCTTTTCTTCCTTATATATCCAAAGTGTCACTGACAAAATCGACAAAAATTTTAAATCAAGAGGGATAAAGACAATATTTATTTACCAGCAAAAGCTTTCATCTCTTGTCTGATCAATCAAAGACAGCATTCCAAATGAACAACACGGAGTTTATTAAATCCCTTGTGCAGACTGTCCTCTATCTTATATAGGTCAAACAAATCGTAGAATCTAAAATAGAAATTATGAACATTTTATTTCTGTTCGCAATTCCGATCCAATTTTAGCTCAAGGTCAATACCATTCTCATATAGGTCACAAAATTGATTTTGAAAACTTCAGAACCATAGCCCTTATCCGCTTCTAGAACCCAACAATTATCCGAGAACCCATAGAAATTGAAAAAAGATCAAATTCGATATTCAGACCTCTCATAAAGAGAATATCGTCCGCTGCACTTACCAATCAAAATCCTTCTGTCAGAAATGTTCTGACAATAGTTTTTTGGTAGTATCACAACATATTGCACCGTAGTGTTATTTGCTAGGTATAAGTGATTGGTATAAATTTCGTAGGGTTCTTGTCTCTGCTCCCCATGTATGGTTAGAGAGAATTTTCAGGAGATTATTTCTAGATTGACATTGTTTTTCCAAGGTATTTATATGGGAGCTTTTCCAGTTTAGGGTGCAATCTAGAGTTAACCACAGACAATTTATTTCATTTGTTTCTGTTAGAGTCCGTCTATTTAAAGTTAAATTAATATTCTTTATATTTTTTAGTTTGTTAAATTTTATGTACTGTGTTTTTCAGGAGAAAAGGTAAAACCGGTTTAAAGTGACCATTTTTTCAGCGTCTGTAAAAACTTCTACATCACTTTAGCTGCACATTCTATACTTTTGCCTTTGTGATAGATAACCAAGTCGTCTGCGTATAGATTGGATTTAATCGGTTAATCTCAGTTCGTCTAGGAAGTTATTTATTGCAATCAGAAATAATGTTAATCTTAAAATGGAAACTCGCTGAATTTTATTTTCAGTAGATCTTGGACTAGAATTATAACCATTAGCTCTTACTTCAATGCTCTGTAAGTTTAGAAATTTTGAATTAAAGCTAATGTGTGACTCACTAATTCACATTTTTGTAATATTTTTAGAATAATATATTTCCATGCAGTGTCGAAAGCTTAATTAATATCAATGAAGACAACTAACAGTTTTTAATTACGTAGAAATGCTTTATGGATTTTAGGTTTAAGCACTAATAGGTTGTCGGTAATGGATCTGCCTTTACGAAAACCACTTTAAAAGGAGTATAATAATTTTGAATTTTCTAAATGCCATATTAGTCTGTTATTTATAATCTTCTCCATTAGTTTGCACATACTGTATGGCAAAAAGATTGGACGATATGACATGGCATCATGACTGAGACCAATATATTGAGAAACTCCTAAGGCAAGATAGACCAAAATTTAAAGACAGTAACAAAACACAAAATATAAATATTTTAACTTCGTTCATACGGATAATAACGAAAGAAGTGGACGATGGATGTAGATCTCTAAAAAGTAACAAAGCACAGGGTTCCGGTAACATCCCTGCTGGGTTAATTAAACACGGTACAAACAAACTATATACAAGTTTAGCCAAACTGTTCCAAAATTGCATGATAAATGTGACAATTACAGAGGCATCGCAGTGACAAACTCGGTCAGTAAAATATACAGAAAGGTAATTAAAAACAGAATAGAAAGCGAATATAAAGACTTAGAGGCTGAGGAACAGGCTGGATTTAGGGTAGGTAAATTTACTGTTGACTATTTGTTTTGCATTACACAGATTATTGAAAACAAAATAGTCGTTAATCAAGAAGTACATTTATTGTATGTAGACCTACGAAAGGCTTATGGTGGCGTACCACAATATAAATTATGGGAAGCGTTAGAGAAAACAAACATGAATTTAATAAATGCGACGAAGGAACTGTACGCTAATGCTAACTCAAAGGTAAAGGTTGTAAATAATCTGTTAAGTGGATTCCAAATAAATAAAGGCCTTAAGCAGGGCTGCTATCTCTCCCCGACATAATTAAAATTTATCTAGAACAGGCTCTAAAATTGGGGAAGCGTAAATGTAGAAATATGGGAATGCTAATTAACAACAATAGCATATTCTTCTTCTTCTTCAGGTGCCATCTCCGCTACGGAGGTTGGCAATCATCATAGCTATCTTAATTTTTGTGGCAGTAGCTCTAAATAGTTGTTTTGAGCTGCATCCAAACAATTCTCTCAGGTTCTTCAGCCATGAAATTCGTCTTCTTCCGATGCTTCTTCTGCCATCTATTTTTCCTTGCATTATGAGTCGCAGGATGCCATACTTATCGCCCGCATCACATGTCCGAGATACTGTAGCTTTCTTTCTTTAATTGTAAGTTCAATTTCCTTCTCTTTGCCTATTCTTCTCAGTATTTCATTGTTTGTAACTCTATCTACCCAGGAAACCCTCATAATTCTTCTATAGGTCCACATTTCAAAGGCGTTAAGTCGTCTCATGGTATCTAGATTTAACGTCCATGATTCCACTCCATAATATAGTACACTGTATACGTAACATTTTGTTAGGCGTACTTTAAGAGCTAATGTTAGATCTTTGCCACATAGGACCTTTTTCATTTTTATAAAATTAGAACGTGCTTTTTCGATTCTGCCTTTGATTTCTGCCGTGTAGTCATTATTTTCTGTTATAAGTGTTCCTAGGTAAGTGTACTTTTTTACTCTTTCGATCTGCTGGCCCTCTACTATCAAGATTTCGTTAGTATTATAGTTGTTTTTACAAATTTTCATAAACTTCGTCTTTTTGACATTAAGAGAGAGTCCGTACTCCCTACTACACATGACTATTTTGCTCATGAGTCTTTCCAGGTCTTGTAAACTATCGGCTATTATTACTGTATCATCTGCATATCTGATGTTGTTAATTAAGACTCCATTTACTCTTATGCCGACTGTTTCATCTTCCAGAGTTTCTCGAATTACCTCTTCAGAATAGGCGTTAAATAATAGAGGTGATAGAATGCAGCCTTGCCTGACTCCTCTCTTTATTTCCATTTCTTCAGATGTTTCTTTCTTCAAATAGCACATACACTTTGTCATTTGCAGATGATCCACTAGTGATGGCACAAGATTATGAAGATATTGAGTATATGACTCGAAAATTAATCAAGGAGTATAAAAAATGGGGACTTGAAATAAATATCCAAAAAACCGAGTATATGTGTATCGGCGGGAAACAACAGGACCTTATATTGAAAGATGGAGAAGTTATCAAACATTGCAACACATATAAATATTTAGGAATGATCATTACAGAAAAAAGGCAACGTAAACGACACAATGGAGGAG